GGGTGGTACTGGGGATTGAACTCGGCCACTCAAACACTGAGCCACATCTGCAGCCCTATTTTGTATTTTCCTTAGAGACATGGTCTCACTGAGGTGCTTAGCACCTCCCTATTGCTGAGGCTGGCTTTGAGCTCACKGTCTGATGGATCCTTCTGCCTCAGCCTCCTAARCCACTGGGATTATAGGCATGCGTTACTGTACCTGGTTAAAGAAATTTTTGACATTCTTATAATGGTGTCTGGCACATAATAAGTACCATACATGTTATGCACTCTTCTTTGATTTGAGATGGGTTAGAATGCAGCATGTAGAGCAGGAGATAGTAAGTGATTTGTAGGGCAGTACACAATGGTCCCTTGGTATCCTAAGGGGATTGGTTCCAGGAACCTGCCCAGTACCCAAGATACAAAAATTCATAAATGCTCAAATCCCTTATATAAAATAGCATACTATTTGCATTTAAATCATGCACATTCTTTTGTGTATGTTAAATCATCTTTAGATCACCTGCAATATTTAATACAATGTAAATGCTATGTAAATAGTTGTTATACTACATCATTTCAGAAGTAATGACAAGAAAAAAGTCTGTACATTTTCAAAACAGGTGTGTTTAAAATATATCTTAGGCTTGTGGTTGGTSGAAACTGCTAGCGGAGCCTCTGGGTAAGGGTACATTTGGTGTTAGCTTCCCGACAGTGGCATTTTCCTTCTATGATGTAGACAACGCAGTGTTTGGGGTTTCTGTTTGTTTGTTGTTTTCCCCACCTTGGTCTCATACAAAGTGCTCCCATACCCTTCCAAGCTAGAATGTGTCTCTTAAACCTTCCCTGTGGAGAAATCCTGGAGACTCCAATATCAGGGACTTAAGGGACCAGAAATGTCACCAAGCCTCTCACTTTACAACAGAAACTTGGGACTGGAGTGGTGAAGATCCATGCTCAAGAAGCAGCTATCCTCTGGACTTGGAGCATGGGGAGCAGGGTAGGTATTTARGACTAGAAAAACCTGCAAACACTGYTCTCTATCAGTTGCTTTGAAAAGGTTCATGTTTTCCAGTTGCATTCAGTCCTACTGTTGGTCGGGATATTTGTACAGTTGAGTTTGAGGGAGGGAGAGAGAACAAGAGCAAGCATACTCCAGGGATTTCATAAAGCAGGGATTTCATAGAGACAAGTCGATAAACAGGTGATGTCAGAGCTGAGAAACCCAAGAGTCGGGGTGGAGGGCAACATAAGATCCGCTGCCCAGACAGTTGCTCTTTCTCCTTTGCTGGGGGGACATGGAAGAAGAGGGGCTGCTGGCATCCTGCAGAGGAGCTAGAGCTCCCAGGAGAGCATGACCTGACAGGCAGGTGAGGCAGGGGCTTAGAAGGGCTCCCTGGGGCGACTGAAATCCAGGAGTAGCAGTGAGATTAGAGAAGCTTTATGAAACAAACATGAGGGGAAGACTGGTCCCACCATGGTCTTCCACCGGKGCCTCCCATTGGCCAAACCTGGAAGCCCAAGAGCAATGGCACCTGGGAAGTGCATGTTGAGTGACATACAGGTGCGTCAGAGAATAAGCAGGCAGGCGACAAGACAGGTAGAAACTCAAAGAATACACAGCTTCTTGCAATTTCAGGTTTCTGAGCATGTAGCCTGTACTTGCTCTCAACCAGATGCCCTGAAAGTGCAGGTGCACTCCTAGTTGGATAGTGCAGGGCACAAAGGACAGCTCGGTCTGATGTGAAACGGGCCGTGATGGACCAAGGTGGTGGGCATCCTCTATGATGGAGCCTGTTTGGGAGGCTCATCCCCTTCAGCTATCTCCTCTGCRGTGTGTGGCAAACGACTGACTATGTCCAGGTGATGTGTGCATCCTTTGAGATTAGGTACAAAAGGTTGTGATTCTATCTAGGACCCTTTCACTCGCTCATTCCCACAGGAGCTCACCTATGACAGCGAAAGGAGCTGTAGAGAAGGAAGCCTGCTGACAACAAGCCAGGACCCAAGGTTTCAGCCCTAGGAGCCTGRAGGAGTGGAATTCTGCCAGTGCTGGTGTGCTCAGGTGTGAACGCCTATTAGGCCCCAGGGAGCCTTCAGATGGCAGCAGCCCTAGCTGTCACCCGCAGGGCAGCCTTGTGAGAGGTGGAGGATGGGCTGACCTGAGCTCAGATCCTGAAGCCACTAGCTTCTGGCACGATTTGTGACATGGCAGTAGATAAAGAATATACCCAGCGATGAGCCAAACATACCTGGGAGGGGAAGGGGAGGCAGAAGAGGATGTGGCTCTGAGTCTGTCCCATGCTCTCTGTGTCATCCCATTTAACTTTCCCGACCACCCTCTGCAGGGGCGATGGGCACTAGTTCCACTTTGCAGACCAGGAAACGAAGCCTGAAAGGGGAAAGCAGTTGACCCAAGCTCACATTACCATACCACGTGGGCAGACAGATGGCTGAACCTACACTTTTACTTCTATTGTTTCACACCGTTGCAGAAACCAAAATGACTATCTTCAGTTCTGTTGTCATCCAATCTGGGTTGCATAGAAATAAAAAGAACAAATCATTAAAAATGAAGTGTCTTTTTTTTTTTTTTTTTAAGTTTGATCCCCATTTCTTTCTATCTCAGCATCTTATAACTAACCGAAAGTTTAAAAAGAGCATTTGGGTCTTATTTCAGGCATTTCTCAGCTGAGGAGTAAACTTCAATATGAAACTGGAGTAATAAATAACCAAGTGGAGATCATTAGGACCGAGGAAGGGGACCGAGGGAAGGAAGGGAGGGCGGGAAAGGGGGTACTGAGAAACAGCACAGACCGAGTCGTATGGTTCTATATGATATGTGCTTGTACTAATATGAAACCACAAATCCCACTATTCTGTATAGCTATAATGCACCGATGAAAAGATCTGGGGGAAAAATAACCCCATGGAAGCAAACCAAGTCTCCAAGGAAGTAGCTGGTTCTTAACTCGTTGAGTGACTTCACTTTTCTGTGGTAAAACAATAATTATTCTGGTCGTGATGACAGTGACAACCAACAAGGGCAGCCAGCACTGAATGAGGGCTCCCATCCCGTTTGGGGCTCTTCTAATGTCTCTGCAGGTATTGTTCCCTTCACTCTCCCAACACTTCTTTCCTACCCTCCTGCCGCCTTCCTAGGTACTGGATCTGGGAAAGTTACCCAACCTCTTGTGACTTTGTCTCCTCCCTTAAAAACTAAAATAACTGTGGCACCTACTTCACAAACTTATTATGATGGCTCCTAGTAAACTAACTAGTAGAATGAGGTAGGAACCAGATGTCTTCCAATCCTCACTTGCATCCCATTGAGTTTGGGCAACCAGGAAGAGCTGTCGGATTCTGAGGCACAGCTTCTGAGGTCCAATTTAGAGCAGAGAAGTCTCAAGTCGGAGACATGTGCTGTTTCACAACACAGATGTGGGGCACCGGAAATCCAGCTGAACTCTCCTGTCCTTCATATGCACTGTGCCCTGGTGGCATCTGCAGAGTGCAGTGCTAAGGCCTCCCGGCATGCATTTCAGCACTGACTGCCTGGTGTGAAAATGGGAAAGAGGCTTTTAAAAAGCACTCCTYCGAAAAAAGTTCATGGAAAAATAAATGGAGAGAGAGACTGTGGAAAAAGAATGGATAATAGAAAGTAGGACATTCAGAAGAATAAATGGAAAGTTACGGAGAGCTATTGGTGTGTGGTGTTCAAAGTGAGCATTTGAGAAAAGGAGACTCAAACAATTAAGATAATGATGAAAAGTTAGCTCCCAGGCCAGTATTGAGAGCAGTGCCTGCTCAGTTCCACTGACCACCCCTCCTGAAGGAAATGCACACCTTCTAGCAGGTTCTTGCTCTTGGCTTCTGTCTTGTCAGCAGTCAGCAGGCACAAGGGACAACTGTGCAGGTGGAGTTTACAAGCAGACGGCAGGTATGTGGTAACTATCTCCTAYAGCCAACAGAGCTCCGTGCCTGGGCGGGGACAGCCTCATGCACAGGGGGCTGTGCTCCCATCTCATGGAAGAAGCAAGAGAGCAGATGGGAATCAGGAGAATGAACTTTCTCGGTGTGGATGACAGCTGGAAAGCCCGCCTCCCAGCACCTGGGAGCATCTGCTGATCTTCCCACAGAGAGAGCAGCACCCTGTTCCTGGTTAATTGCCTGGCAACCCAAGGAAGTCCCCAGGGTCATTGGTGAAGAGCTCTTCTGTGTCCTCACAGCGCCTTTGCTCATGACATTCTTGGCCATGCTTGGCGACAGTCCACACCCCTGCATCATTGTCTACTGACCACTGCCATCTCTCTCYCTCTGGGAGGATGAGCATGGTCACAAAGGGCCTCAGTGAGAAGGTGACATCTGAGCAAAAGGCTGGCAGAAATGAGTGGTTGATCCAGGTGAGATTCTGCAGGAAGAGTGTTCTAGGCTTCCTCGCAAAATCTGGAAAGCAAACATGAAAATATAGGAGTACGGAAACAAGGCAGAAATATTATGTAGTAGGTGGAGGTCGAAGGTGGCAACCTGGGCTTTAAATCAGCCCAGAAGCACTGGGGTCATTTAGGAAGTGAGACAGCAGCCTTCTCACAAGAGAATAGAGTAAGCCAGGGTGTTTGTGTTTATGAGGGAGGGGAAGGAAGGAGAGAGAGAGAGAGAGAGAGAGAGAGAGAGAGAGAGAGAGAGAGAGAGGAAGACCCTTACTGGTAAGAAGCACTGGAGGTTTAGGGCAGTTGTGTACTGGGAAAGGTTTAAAGATGAATACTGGGAAAGGTTTAAAGATGAACTCTCCAGGAACAAAACAGAAAAGTTTGATCTGCAGCTTTGCTGATTCTCATGGCTTAAATATTGCGTTATACTAATTTCTGGTAACTGGTGTTACCCAAAAGAATGTAAGAAAGGATTCAAATGATGCATGGATTTTTCCACTGGAGATTTGAGAGAATGATAACGGAAGGTGGGGTCAGAGCTCAGAGCCTGGGCCTGCACCAGCCACTGGTCTGTGTTGGCAACCAGGCAGGAGACCAGTTGGTCCAGAGCCCCAGCTTCTTTATCCACAATCTGAAGGGATTGTGCTAAAGGAAATGGAAGCTTTCTCTGTGCCGTGCCCTTCACTTACCACTTCTCCCCACAGGACAGGCTCCCGAGGGCCTGCTCCATAAGGGCCATCCTCTTTGCCTTTCCTCTGTGAAGGTTGCTCTGGGATCCGGGAGGGATAAACTCTCTGCATCCCCACTGAAGGCAGGCAGTCAAGTTGAAGCAAAAGCAAAATGGGCCAAACCCAGGACCTCTCTGTCTTGGGAGTTTGGAATGTCCACCCACTCCACTGGGGCTGCTCTATCTAGCTCCAGAGAAGACCCGGTGGAAAGTGGGTGGATGCACCCTGCCATCACTTCAACTCGATGTCTGGCAGACTGTGTCTGTGCATATGTGCATCTGTATATGTATACGTGTGTGTGTGTGTGTGTGTGTGTGTGTGTGTGTTCATACACCTAAGTCACTTTTTTAATATTTATTTTTTTAGTTGTAGGTGGACACAATATCTTTATTTTATTTTTTATGTGGTGCTGAGGACCAAACCCCAGAAGTCATGCATGCTAGGCCAGTGCTCTACCTCTGAGCCACAATCCCAGACTCCACACAAATCACTTTTTATAGATTTATTGTAGGTAATTCTTAAAAATAAGTTGTGTGTCTCCTTCCAATTCAGCATGTGAGATTAAGTAACTGTCTCACTAGCACCTGGAAATTCAGAGCCAGAAGTTAAAGCTCTATCCAAAGCAGGCCTCATGAAATCATCAGCTTTCATTTCTTGAGGGACTAAGATACACCAGGCAACCGCAAGCCTTATGTTGGAACTAGGCACACAGCAGAGGAGCAAACAGGCCTCAGCCCCAGCACAGAATGTTAGAGCAGCAGAGACCTTCATTTTCTGCAGTGGTGGGGAGGGATGAAAGCCAGGGCTTGTGCATGCTGGGCAAGTGCTCTGCCAYGGAGAATCATCCCATGCCAGCAGTGACATTCTTTAAACCTGACCTTGACTGCAGGTGGAAGAACAGAGAGCACAGGGTGGGGAGCAGACTAGGAGGGTGARCTTTCTAATTCTTGTGCAGAAAGAGCAAGAAACGGCAAATTAACCTGTGAGGCTCCCAAGACATGGAGACACTGCTTTCCTCCTGCTTTTACCCCCTTGTTGCCAGCCTGGAACCTGCGAAATCTGATTATATGACTCTTGCAAAAGAAGTGGTGTTGGCAATTAAAATGTCCGACTGCACRGTTCTCTAGAGCTCCGAGTAATTCATACACATGATCTTTTCTTCATTTTCATTGTCATTGAAGGTAGATATTGCCTCCACTTTGGAGGTGAAGAAATCGAGTTTCAAAATGAAGGAAGGGGACCATCTGGAGTCCTACTTGAGAATGACTTTCTGCCATCCCAGTAGAACATGAGAGCAATTTCAATTTTGCTGTAAATCGGGGTTAATCGTTCCAGAATTGTTTTAATTGCTATAGTTTAAATGTGTCTCCCAAAGTTCATGTTTTGGAAACTTAATGCCCATATGCTAATGGTACTTGGAGGTAAGACAAACCACCCTCGATGTTGGTGGTAATCATCCAATTAGTGGGAGACCCTGAAGGAACTAAATCAAAGAAAGGMTCTCTCTTGGAACTGGGATACCCACCCCCACTCCCCCCACATGAGAACTTCAGGTTCTCCAGCCTTTGGACCCCAGGGCTTATACTACCACCCTGGTTCTCAGGCCTTTGGTGTTGGACTGAGAGTTAGACCACCAACTTCTCTGGTTCTAAGACTTTTGTTCAGCCCATCTACCTGCATTCCTGGGTCTCCAATCTTCACAGAGACTATAGTGCGAGTTCTCAACCTCCATGAATGAATGAGCCAATGCCCCTAACAAATCCCCACTCATATGAGATCTATGCATTTCTATTAGTTCTGCCTCTCTGGAGAACCCTCATACGGGGTGGGTTATATGGACCAAGACATGCTCACAACTGTGTATGGGAAGCCTCATGTGTGCTGTCTTGTGGAAAGTTCTTCAAGTTACATTATTAAGAGAGCAAGTGCAGAACACTGTACCCAGTCTGCTTCCTTCTAAGAACAGAAAGGGGAAAGATAAACCAAATATTCATTCCTGACAGCACAAAGTTTTACAGGGCTGATACACAAGAAAAAAAAAAGTGATCAACTAGGGAGATGTTGAAGGATGGATTCTCAGTATGTGACTTGTGACTTCAAGTTGATTGAAACCTGTGAGTCTATCTCTTACTCAAAAAACTAGACATATTTGTATTAATGAGATCGCCTCTCAATAATATTCTTTTTCCTCCCCCTAATCTCACTTATCTACAAGGTACACATATAAACACACACACACACACACACACACACAAAACCCTAGAATAAGATTTTATTGTTGTTGTTACTGGGAATTGAACCTGGAGATTTACTACTTAGATACATTCCCCGCCCCAATTAATTATTATTATTATTATTTTTTAAAATTTGAAACACGTTCTGGCTAAGTTGCTTAGGGCCTAGTGAAGTTGTTGAGACTGGCCCCAAATTTGCGATCCTCTTGCCTCAGACTCCAGAGTCACTGGGATTTCAGGCATGAGCCACTGYGCCTGAATAGAATGTCTTTAATCATAAGAAATGTGTAGGTGCAGAATCAGTCAGTGATGTAGGAATCCAAGCATCATTCAGCCAGGGTTTTCTGAGCATTTGTGGGTCTATCAGGCACTTGGGACCCTGGCAGCTCTTCTGTGATAAGAAGTTTTTGAGAGCTGAGGGAGAGAAGACAACAAATAAAAGTATTTGGGAACCTCTCTCCAGCCTTCCTCACGCATACAAAAAACCTTACACTTTTACTCTTTTCCCTAAGCTGAGTTGACTTCTCTTCAGGGGCCACCCCTTCTCAATTCCTCTCAAGGATCTACCTGTGGCCAAAGGACCCAGTCTTCCAAGTAGGGTGCTCTAATTTTGCTTCTGCTAAAGGGAATAGATTAAGCAAATAAATGTTCAATTAAAGTTGAGTTTCAGATAAACAATGATTTTTTAAAGTATTGTGCACCCCATGCAATATTGGGGTTTTTTATAGTKACACTAAAATAATTAATTTTTGGTTATTTGAAATTCAGATTTAACTGGTATCTTGCATTTTTCTCTGACAACCTTATTCTCAGATTCTACCCAGAGGAAGCTGGTTAGGAGCACTTATCATGTTAACCCCAGTGATGAGAGGTATTTAGCCTAGTGCTAGCAGTAGGATTTCTGTGGTAGACATGTCCTGTATCCACTCTGTCCAATACAGTAGCCATTGGCAACTTGCAAYGTGGTTAGTGTGAAACTGAATTGTTAATTATTGAATTTAAATTTACAACATCACAGATGGCATGGATATGAAATTCATCATGTGTCCCCAAATTCAGGTACTGGAATTTAAGAACAAGGAACTAAAATGGTGCATGACCCCAGAATAAGTTCCCAGGTCCTTGTAGCTAGGTAATGAGGACTCCATCCTGCCCAGGTATGTCTCCTTGTCAACATCTTTATTCCAAAAATATACATATATTTAGAGAGAGAGAGAGAATTTTTTAATATTTATTTTTTAGTTTTTGGCAGACATAATATCTTTGTTTGTATGTGGTGCTGAGGATTGAATCCTGGCCGCAAGCATGCCAGGTGAGCGTGCTACCACTTGAGCCATATCCCCAGCCCTTTATTCCAAATATTTAATGAAGATCTATTGTATGCAGAAGATGTGAAGTGCCAGTGTCCAGACAAATAAGATATAATTTYTCAAAAAAACTTACCCTGTAGATGAGATGAGAGTGTTAACAGGACAGTCCCAGCATTAGAATGTAAAAACAGAAAGGTGATCGTATGACAGAGCAGACACTGTAAGTGGGTGACACAGCATGAATTTTGTCACTTACCAGCTGTGGGACCCCTTTCTTTTTATGATTGTAAGCAAACTCTATTAGTAATAGAATCAGAGCATATTAAAAAGGATTCTTTAATGCATGCTCCAACCAGAAGCGAACAGACCCTTAAAAAAWTTTTGGCTACTTGGAAATATAGAGGGTTAATGTGACACCCAATCTGGAGATGCTAGTGCAGAAACCAGGGAAAGGTAAAGGGTAAAAGCAAATGGATTGAACCTCCAAATCTCACTGAGGTCCTGAGAGCTGGGTAGGATGAGTGGTAATGTATCCACAACGTTTGTGAACAGATATCTTTATATAGAAGTTTAGACAACCATGCACTGGGCGGTGGAAGGGCTTTCTGGGCAAARAGTCTATTCTCTGTTTCATTCACCAGATTATTTGAGTGCTCACTAAGGGATCGGACCTCTGCTAGGTACTGGGGGACCGCAGTGAACAGACAGACCAGGTCTCCCCTTAACAGAACAGCATCTGATGGGAAGAGGAAAACAAGGAGGGATTTGATAAGCAAACATCACAGGCTACATTTGTGTGCATGTACGTGTGTGTGTGTGTGTGTGATGAGTGTGTATGTGTGTGTGTGTGTGTGAGAGTGTGAGTGAGTGTGTGTGTGTGTGTGTTGGGGGGGTTTCTGGGCTCCAGGGGACACTCTACCATCTACTACTGAGCTACATTCCAGCCTATTTATTTATTTTGAAATGACATCTCCCTAAGTTGCTTAGGGTTTCACTAAATTGCTGAAGCTGGCTTTGAACTTGTGATTCACCTGCCYCAGACTTTGGAGCCACTGGGATTATTTATATGTGTTTGCCACTGTGCCTGACACTAGCCCTTTTTATTTTTATTTTGAGACAGGGTCTAGCTAAGCCTCCAAGGCTGCCCTTGAAGTTGGAACCCTCCTGCCTCACTCTCCTGAGTTGYTGGGATTAAAGGTGCGCACCATTGTGCCAATTYCAGCATATTTTAAACAATTTAAACAGTATTATTAATAGAAAGTAATTAGGGGTGGAATGGAGAGAAAGGAAGCTTTTCTTTGATTCTATTTTTTGCCAAAGTCTGG